CAAAAAGGGTTGTTTTTTTCCCCCCGAAAGAACCATGTCTAGACAGCGGTTTCACTTTCAAAATACCCATTTTTGAAAGAACGCGTGGTCGCCATTATGCAATTGAAGTGCGGGAAATTCAAATCCCGGCTTCATATGCAATTTCGATATGTCTAAAAGACAGAGGGATGTAGTCTAGACAGCCTGGGAGAACAGCCCCTGCTGACCGCGCACGAGACACCACGATAAATACATCTACTTCAGCTAGGCTAGTTGTGTGGCTGAAGTCACATATAATAGATTGATGGTGTGAGTTAGTATACAAAAGTATACAAAAGGCCTTTGTTATGCCTAAGGCTCTAACAGCATAGACAGCATAAAACTGGGCTCAAGCTAGTCTAGTCCCTTTCTTAGAGGCAGGACTAAGTATTATCTAGACCACCCTTGACAGGTGTTTGTAATTGGAAATTTTTAACAGGTTGGACAGAAATTCCACCAGCTCCCTAGGCAATTATTCCAGTGCTTAACCATCCTGACTGTAAATTTTTCCTAATGTCCAACCTAAAGCGCCCTTGTGGCAATTTAAGGTCACTGCTTCTTCTTTGTTGCTCTTCTCTGGACTTTCTCTAATTTGTCCACATCTTTCCTGAAATGTGGCAGACAGATCTGGACACAATACTTCAGGGCTGTGTCGAGACTGGCAAGTTTTTCCGCAAAATCAGCTGCTTTTGCAGAAAAACTTGCCAGCTGTCTACACTGGCCACTTGAATTTCTGCAAGAACACGGACTTCATACTGTCTGAAATCAGTGCTTCTTGCAGAAATACTATGTTGCTCTCGTTTGGGCAAAACTCCCTTTTGCACAAAGCTTTTGTGCAAAAGGGCCAATGTAGACAGCTCAGATTTGTTTTGCACAAAAAAGCCCCGATTGCGAAAATGGCGATCGGGGCTTTTTTGCGCAAAAGCACGTCTAGATTGGGATGGACGCTTTTCTGCAAAAAGTGCTTTTGCAGAAAAGCGTCCATGCCAATCTAGATGCTCTTTTACGCAAATGCTTTTAACGGAAAACTTTTCCGTTAAAAGCATTTGCGGAAAATCATGCCAGTCTAGACGTAGCCCAGTTGAGGCCTAACCAGCGCAGAGTAGAGTGGAAGAATGACTTCTCATGTCCTGCTCACAACACTCCTGTTAATACTTTGTTTTTTGGGTTTTTTTGCAATAGTGTTCCATTGTCGACTCTCATTTAGCTTGTGGTCCACTATGACCCCTAAATCCGTTTCTGCAGGACTCCTTCCTAGACAGTCACTTTCCATTCTGTATGCGTAAGACTAATTGCTCCTTCCCAAACTTTACTGTCTTGACAGTACAATTATTTCTCATTTGTATTACCATAGGGTCTAGGACAGTGATCCTCAAACTTCTTTTCTCATGACCCAATCATAATTATATCTTTTGAATGCAGCCTCTGGGCGGGGCAGGAATAAGGGATCTCGGGTGCAAGAAGGGGCTCCTCATTGGGGGGCCTCCAAGGCAGGGGGTTGGTGCTCGTGGCTGGGCATGGGCTTATCTCCAGCAGCTTCTGGTCAGCAGTACAGCAGGGGCGCTCAAGCAGCAGCTCTGGTTCCCAGGCGGAGGCTCACAAGCAGCTCTGCTCTCTGCTCTCGCCCACAGGCACAAACTCTCCCCCAGCTCCTATTGGCCAGGAACTGGCCAATGGGAGCAGCGCATGGAGTCCTGTGGCTCCCCTGTCTCAGAGCCAGACCTGCTGTTGGCCACATCTGGGATGCAGCTTGGTCCACAGCACCAGAACAGGCAGGAAGCTGCCTTAGCACCTCACTACTCCCCGGGTCCCCCTAGAGCCAGGTGACCTGACATTGTGCGACCCAGTGCTGGGTTGTGGCCCATAGTTCGAAAGCCACTTGTCTGGGAGCTCTAGTCACGGACAAAGACCTCATTCTGCTCGGCCCTGTACAAACAGATGGCGAATTGACAGTGTTGATACATGTACTGTCCCGTGGTCACAGCACACAGGGGCCTATTGCTTTGCATTTGTCCTTACTGAATTTCATCCTAGTTCCTCCAGATCATTTTGAATTTTAATCCTATCCCCCAGAGCACTTGTGACCCCTCCCAGATTGTTACTGTCCACAACCTTCACAAGTGTTCTCTCTATGCCATTAGCGACATCGCTGATGAAGATACTGAGCAGAATCAGGCCCAGTGACGGAGGCCTGTGAGCAACTGAAAACTCCTCTCTCAGAATGGTTTTCCAACCAGTCACGCACCCACCTTCTTGCAGTCCCATCTAGGGTGTATTTCCCGAGTTGGTTTATGTTTATTATCCTTTGTTTGGACATCAGATCCAGATCCACACCTATCGATAAATTCAATGCCATTTACGTTCACTTTATAGATCACAGTAAAAGCACTGGCACCTCTATATCAACCTCAGACTTGAAACATACAGCAAACCATGCTCTGTTTCGACATTAATCACAAACATTCAGAAAGATGGACCTTGCTAAAGGATATATTACCATTCTCTATAGTAGTAAAATAACTACAGTATGTATGCAGCCTTGTAGCCTACTTCACATTTTATAGACATTAAAGAATTCCCCCCTCCCCCTCGGTCTCTCGCCCAAAATGGTTTATAATCTAATTTACTGTCTTGACAGTATTCTCATTGATCATTTGTAATACCATAGGGTCTAGGAGCCTTAGTCATTGCCAAGGACCTCATTCTACTATCCATCGTGCAAACAGATGGGGAGTTTACAATGCAATTACTTGTATTGTCCCAGGATTACAGCAGACAAGTGCCTATTTCTGCAAACAACTCAGCTTCAACTTAGGAACCGGATGTGTGATGTGACAAAACCAGGTGAGGGGGGGGGAAGCTTTTTTAGGGTTTACCAGAATTTCGAGGTGCCAAAAGAGATTATTTCTGCACAGACATTCTGCAACTGTGCCCACTACTAGGGAGAGAATTCAAAATTAAATCAATCATGCTGTTAATTAGTAATGGATTTATATCAGGGTCTTCTGAAAAGGGTGTCAGCAAACATGTCACTAAGCTGTCTTCTGCAACAGACCCCAACACTGTGGCCACATATATAGATCTCTCAGCATATACTGTTACAAGCTACCTAACTGTTCTCCAAAACCTACTCCATCACCAGGAACAAGGCAATGCATTACCAAACTATGGCTCCAGAGAGAAAATGTTTCTCTAAGACATGATTAAGATGAACCTTGCAAAATTCTATTTGCTCAGTTGCCTAAAGATAGTAAATCCTTTCCCCCAACAGGTTAATCTTCTCAAAAATGTTCAGTCACCGTGGCATGTATGTATATCCAAAACACATGTACTGGAGGGATGGGCGGGGGCGGGGGAACTGGAGGGGCCATAGACTGGAACAGTGCTGACAGGTTGTAAAACGGGCTGAAAAAACATTTTATTACAATCTCACAATTAACTTCCACCTCCCCTGAGTTCCTTAGAAAGAGCCTGATTAAGCCTGGTTCAGACACAGCTTCAAACATACTAAGTCAGTAACACCTAACTTACTAGAATAAGATAGTTATGCATCAAATACGCATCTGCCCACACATGGGGTTTTATGCACATGTTCTATCTGCAAACTGGTCAAGAAATAACAGAGCATATATTTGCATAGGACAGTGCTACAAGAAACGTATTAATTTGTTGCATGAAATTAAGATCACTAGAAAGCTGTGTAATATGTAATATATTTAATTACCTCTGAAGAATCATTCTCTGTAGCACTCACTCTCTCTCATATCACAGGTTTAAAAAAAAAAAAAAACCACACATCACAACCCACCACCAATCAACCGAACACAACACACACACGCATACACCAAAGTTATGATAGACGTATGTGCCAAGAACAAACATCATAGTGGAAGTGTCCCGAGAAGAGGACGAACATTATCAGTCAGAGGAATGGAAATCCTCAATGCCATCACTATATCCACTTCAGCTTGAAACAGAAGACTTCTCATGACAAACCTCTCAGTCACTGTTTAGCAAACTCACTATCAAACTAATCGGGGATGTACATTCTCCTCTTGGATACACACATGAAACCCCTAGTGACATTTGCTAAACCTGTGTTTGAAAGAAACATGAGCATGTGGTAGAGCAGTGGGTGAAATCAGAAGAGCTGAGGTCATTTCCCAAATCAGCGACTTCTAGATTAATAGATTTTAATGCCAGAAAAGACCAACGGGATTATCTGCTCTGATCCAATATAGAACAGACCACAGAATTTCACTCTGATTTCAGCCAGCCAAACCACCTGTGGTTCAATAAATTATATCTTTTACACAGACACCAAGTCCTAAATTAAAGATGCCAAGTTTACCACACCCCTTGATAATCTGTTTCAAAATTTAACATACCCAACCTCACGGCTAACAACATGAATCTCAATTCACCTGCCAGGCCCTGGTCTCGGTATGCCTGACAGATTAAAGAGCACTTTGGTACCTGATCTTTTCCTTCTGGGTAGGTAGCAGATAGACAATGGTCAAACTGCTTCTTAATTGTCTTAGATATGATAAACAGATTGAGCTGCTCATGTGTCTCATTGGAACAAATGTTTTGCAGACTATGAGTCTATCCAATTTTTCATTATCCATTTCAAGGCGCGCATACGAGAACTGGACACAGTACTCTGGTAGTTGTTTGTTTAACATCACACAGAGGTAAAAAAATATTGTGCAATCTTTGTTAATTATTTAAGCTGTCTCTCTCTATTTCCCCTTCTGTAAAATGGGAATCATTCATCATATCAGTATTCAAATGTTTAATTCATCAGTGTCTGAAAAAGCAATTTAAGACCTTTGGCTGGAAGGCAAAGTATTACGTGCCCATGAGCAGAAGGGACAAGACTTCCTCATTTATACAATGCAATACAGATTATTTTGTATAGGAAAAAATGTTTCTGGGTCTGAGCATCCCAAGAAGAGTTCCCAATAGTCTGATGAACTTACATGATACAGAGCCAGGACTGTTGATACTGAACCCCTGTGACGGTTGCTGTGACCCCCTGAATTGTATCCGATAGGAGATGAACTAGAAGAAAAAAAAAAAAAGAAACACACTTGGAAATGTATTGAAAATTGAAATTCTGCATAATTGCAGCTTCATCAAACCAGATTCATGCAGAGTTCTGATGGAAAACACTGTCTAAGCCCTGGCATGAATACTGCTTTTGTATTCACTTATCTGCTGATTGAATTGATGCCTCAGAAAAAAGGATAAAAGATGGAAACACTCAACCTGAGGTTTTCAAATACTCTCCTTAGCAGACATTTTAAAAGCCATGAGTGGTAATTTTCTTCTCTACCAGGCCTTTCTTACAGGAAAAAAATAAGATTAAGTTGAATCCAATTATCAAAAGATGAAATCTTATCCTTCAGTTGGACTATTTTATTCCCACTGCTTGTTCCTTGTACCATTTTGTAATTTTATGCTTAACTGTCATTGGAAAAAGGCAGAAAAATCTGTATTACACGTAGCTACAAATATCTGCATACAGAATGAATGGAAGCTTAGCAGGAACTTATGTGCTACTCACTCAGGAGTCTCATCAAATTTGTTAATTAAATTAATTAAAGGTGGGACCACTGTATTTTTGTTTGTACATTCACGTCACTGTTTTATTCTCAGTGGAGAAATTCTAAACTGCAGAAGGTCTGCAATCCATCATTCAGCCAGTGACAAATGGGCAATGGAGCAGAGAGAGCTTCTGCCATCTACTGTCACATGATTCAGTAGGATTTAATCAGTGGCCCCAAAGTCTAATACTGTGAGGCTGGTGTTACTCCTACAGCATCACACAATTTCTGGAAAAGAAATTTCCTTTGACCGAGAAATAATGCTAAATGGGTCCAAAGAAGCTCTGGTCAGGTCTCCTCAACTGGTCAGATGTTTGCAACCGTGCAGGATTTCAGCAGAGCCATGGAAGAATTCACAAGCATGTTTCCAAAGTAGAAAAAATTCCCATAGCAAAGCTGAGCATTTCTGGAAGCAAGCGATACCAGTTCCAAAGGGGCTCTATCAAACACCACACACACATGCTCTCACAGAAAGAGAAATATTCCAAATCACAGGGTGATGAAATGCAGACACAACATGGGATAATCAGCTGCCACATTAATAAGTGACTCAGATCTAAATGTTGCCCATGGCATGACAAACAACACATGAACGTGCAGCCAAGGGGAACAAGCAGTGAATGCGAAGACTTGTAAACAATAATGAGAATGGTAAAACGCAATTTAAGTGTTGTTCACGACAGTCAACACCAGGCAGCTCAGACAGAACGCCGCTGCTAGAAGAACCGAAGAGGAAGTTACCATTCCCTTCTCTCGGGGCTCCCGAATCGGTGAATAAAGTGCTCATGATTTTGTCAAAGTTGCAGCTCGGCTCCGTGTTGTCAGAATCCTCAGCGAAGTGTTTCAGCATCTCTCGAAGGACGTCGTCCAAGGAGGTGGCTGCCTCATCCAGGATGATGATGGCTCGGGCCAGGAACCCATCCAGGTCACGGTGAGCTCGGACTTCTTCCTCAAAATTCTTTAATTTCAGGTACTGCATTAAGGAAAGGTTCTCTCATTAGACAAAGTGAGGGGGAAGTTTTACATTGGGGGCAATTAACCACCCCCAAAAAAATCAATGGCCAACTATACACATTCACCTCACCTGCCCAGGGAAGCGGGGTGATGAAATTCCCTTCCCCTTTCCCCCGGGCAGGGTGAGCCAGCACCCATGGATCCCAGCACCGTCAGCAGTCACCAGAGGCACCCCCAGCCAGGTGAGCTGAACACGCGTGGCCTGCAGGCCAGCTAAAAACAAGCCAAGGGCCAGATCCCCTCCCCTGCATTAGATATTTTATACTGACATTACTTCTCAAGCGTGGGGGGCCACCGATGCACAGAAAAAATCAGTCGGGGGCTGCACACAAATGAGAAGCAAACAAAAAAACCCTCATTGACGTGGCCCCTGACTGAGGAGGAGAAAGATACTCCCACCGTCCCCTTGCACACCAAAGCCTGGGGGTGGGGGAGCCGACTAGTTTATTTCATGTGTTCCAGTTCTGTGAGGGGAGCATGCGCTACACAAGGCTGTGAGGGGATTCCTGAGCCTCGGGGGTCAGATCAAGGTAAGCCAGGGGCCACATCCGGCCCCTGGGCCTTACGTTCCCCATCCCTACTATGTACTTGATCATCTGATCACCTGCAGAATGGTCACAAACATGCAATTTGTTCAGGCTGTAACACTGAACTTGAAGATTTCATACCACACGTCCCATATGACATGAGGCGTTCCAGCCACTCCCACAGACTTCTCTCACTAGCCAACAAAACAGTCCCAGCCACAGAGACTGAGAACACACCCAGGTTTGCTGCCGCCCCGTGAGGTTTCTGTGATAACTCTATTAAGATTTTGCTGGACCAGGGAAGGCGTGAAGGGAACGGGGGTGGAGTGTTTACCTGGCGTTCTGCCACTCCTAGGTAGCACCCCGCCACCGCTCTGGGTTCGTACCACTGGTGTTCCCAAATTAGCGACACCCGGAGTATCGCGACTGCAGAGTACCAGTGGTAAAATGAATGGCTACGGTTCCTAAGTCCCATTTTCAAGAGTGACTTAAGCCTCCAGCAGTCTAGATCTCATTGAAAGCCTATAAGATTGAGGCTCCTAAGTCACTTTGGACAGTGACAAGTATTTGCAGAAACGTTACCCTACTGCCCTTACTGCGTGGGCCCACGTTGGTCTCATACATGACAAATGCAATCCCTCTTCCTTTTCCATTTACTGCCTAATCAAAGTGTAGCATTTTACTAATGACTTTATCAAGCTGGCAGTGCAGGCCATCACATGCATTGCAGTGAACGTGACTTTCCTTTGCATCAATCAATTCCTCACACAGAATAATTCATTCCTCCTCCTCAAAGCCTTTTTTGCCCTGTGTTCATGCAAAGGGAGATGGAACTACTCCTTAATCTTCATAGGACTTCATGTTGTGTTACAGAACAGGGGGATCTATTGTACTAGACATGCTACAGACAAGTAACAAAAGAGCCAGAGAACACAGAATCTATCAGATGACACCGATAAATGGGGGAGGGTAACAACAGCAGAAGTCTCTTTGCCACTCACCTAACCCAAGTCATGGCAGAGGTGAGGTTTAAGGAGCTAGCGTAAATAAGGCAGCAGAGGGGTGTAAGGGGCAGCGGGTTTGAAGGAAATGGGAAATACAGGAGCATGCCAATTCAGGTGCCCCAACCCTCATTGGCTGCACTAATAGGAATCTAGTGAAGTGATTCTGTCTTTCCAGACTGCCCTGCTCCTTTCAGGAGTCGGATTTGTCTTGCACACCTCTCAGTTTCACCTGACTAAAGTAGTCCTGGCTTACAAAATCTGACACAAACTACAAATCTGACACAAACTACAAAAAGTGTCACAGCACACTAGTACACAATACATGAAGCCGTGTTCTCTGTAACAATAGCAAAAATGAGATACTAAATGGAATATTAATATTGCACGTACATTTCTGTGGATAGTCTAGAAAGCAGTGTACATAAGTCACTGTCTATATGAAATTTTAGTTTGTACTAGGGAAGTGAAAGGTTACTCAGTTAATCGGAAAGCATCACCCTAAATGGTTCCGGTTAACTAGAAGGGCTGGAGCAGCACCCCGCCTACCTCAAGCTGGGGGATGCTCCGGTAGGGAATAGGAGTCAGCAGAGCTACTGGGGTCTGGAAGCTGGCAGGAAGGGGCTGGGGCCTGCTCCAGCCCAGATCCTGCTTACTCAGTTAACTGGTTAAAGACTAGGTCACCCTAATGTTTAGCCAGTTAACTGATTAACTGTAAAATCCCATCCTTAGTTGGTACTGACTTGGCTGCTCCTTTGTATGTAGCCTGTTGTAAAACTAGGCAAGTATTTAGATGAACTGACGTGCCCCCGGAAGTCCTGTGTGTACCCTCAGGGGTAGAGGAGACCCACCCGTCTAATGATTACAGCACTAGCCTAGGAGCAGGGTTCAAATCCCTCCTCTGCCAGACTTCCTGAGTGGCCTTGGGCAGGTTATTTGGGGAATGAAGTAAGATAACAGCTCTTTTCTGTCCCAGGGGAGGGAGAGGAGGTGTTAAAAATGCTAAAGATTACAAGGCGCTCAGAAGCGACAACAGTGGGGGCCACAGACATACTATAAGATAACGGGGTGCTGTGGTCCGGCAACATCCGTGGTCTGGGTCTGTTGCTGGCCGGGGACCCCATCCCCAAAGAGCCCCAGCCAGGCAGCAGCAGGGCTGGCAAGCCACATCCCCAGCTGAAGCAGAAGCAGAGCCATGGTGGCTGGGGAACTCTGTCCCAGGGGAGCCCCAACCAGCCCGCTGCACCCACGACTAAGCCAGGCAGCGGAGCTGGAGCTGGAGCGGAGCCAGCCAAAGGCTGGTGGCAGACGGCAGGTGAAGGCCTGGGGAGCCTATGCCAGGCGGGGCAGCAGGAGGACCAGCAAGGTGCATCCTGAGGGAACCTCGGCAGGGTGGGGCAGTAGTCCTCATTCAGGGCCAGTCGGGTTCCAAGTGTGCTGGACCAGGGAGGTCCAATCTGTATTGGGCAGCTACTGAAAATTATTTAAATTTTAGGTTGCTATAACAATGGTGTCCGTGCCTAACTAATCCCCAACTAGGACGACAGAAGAATGCTACTCTTTCCACTGGAGCAGACTGGGTCTGCACTATGGGGTTATTATACCAACACGGCTGCACTGTCCTAGCAGCGCTGCTAGAATTCCCGTAACACAGCGACGGCCTTAGCTGCAAAGGGTGGGTGCGTAGCTCAAACTAAATCTGCTCTATGAAGAGAAAATTCACTTGTTTAAGCACAAAATATTTGTGAAGGAGTGGTCATTAATCTTGTCTTAAATAATATGCATGTCACAATGGGATGCTTTATGCTGGCATCTCCCTAATAAAAACTGAAAAAGCCTCAGAACAAGACAGCTGTTATACAAGGGGAGAAAAAAAAAAAAAACTTTCATGCTCCTCAAGTGAAATTGCAACATTGCAAGCCAAAGTTGTCTTCATTGTCAGAGGGAAACAAAGCGTCTTTGAATGTGCTGTGTTTACGGGAATGAAAGACCATAATTAAAATAGCTTTCCCCCTTGACAAGTGATATCCAGGGCTCCACCGCCAACAACAATACATGTGAGTTGCGTGAGCGACCTATAGCAAACAAAGCTCAAAACACTTATCAACAAGGCCCAAAAGGAGCTCTCTCTGTTGGGCGGCTGCTGCTTTGGTGATTACATCTGCTCACAAGGGTTACAAGAAAGTTTCAAAAAGGTTTCCAAAAATGTATTCTCGGGAGCATTATTTCCTAGTTTTCCCATTGTCAAGGTTGCTGGAGGCAATTCACTCAATTGATGTGGGCTTCTCAGAAGCAGGTTCATATCCTGCTAGCAATGTGTTTGGCTTTTTTGAGTCTCGTGCTTACGGGGCATAAGCCGATCACCAGCTGGAGGCAAGAAGTAGTGATTCCTCTCTGTGGATGGTACAGGACTACACAAATAGCTGAATTATAGGAATTTATGTACTCCTCTCAAGGATCTGCCATGAGCCACTGCCCAAGACCGGATGCTAAAATATGACTCAATACAGAAAAAAGCGAGAGGCAGGGGTACATTCCAGGAGAGCCGCTGAACTGAAAGCGCTCCCAGTATAAAGCTGTGTATCCAGTATAACGCTGTGACTTTTTCAAAGGGAAAGCAGACATTAGAATTTACCACTTTAAAAATCACTGCAGATTTGAATGACCGACAATAGCAAGCAGTGATCAGTGCTCTGCATGCAGCTTGGGCCAGAGCGGGATTTAATTAAAACAAAGGAACAAAAAGGGGGGAGGGGTAATAGATCAGTTCCTTCTTCGCATGCCTGCTGAGAAAACATTCAGCCTTCGGATTTTCCCTGTCAAGATCCAGTGAAAAACAGCTACAAGGGAATGCTCCTCTGTGACACGGGAGATCACAAGCTGCCTGTGCATTCGAAAAAGCTTTTGAATGTACCTCAGTGAAAAGTGGCCAGTGTTCAAATGAACGGGTCTCTCCAATCCCGTGGAGACTCCCGCATCGCTCGGTCACCAAGAGTCACAGCCAGGGCTTCACATGCAACTTCTCACACTAGCCACAAGGTCTGTTTCCTGCTACCCCTCCCTCCACTGCCTCCGGAACAGTACAGTCACCTGCATCAGGGGCCCTATGGGTCATTGAGAAAGGGGGCTCCAGCGACAGAGAAGTAGGAGACTTTAGTAGAAGCTCTGGCTGGGAGGGGCATACCTGTGCAGCTCCTGGCCAGCAGTCCCTCAGCTGGCTTCCTGTCTGCCCCGCCCTATATGCCACTCAGAGCAGTCGGCTGCAGGGAGCGGGGAAACGGGAAATTTCACACACTGCCTGTCTGGCCAATGGGAGCTCCGAGATTGTGCTGTGGGTGGGGCAGCATGCAAAGACACACCCCCTTGTGGTTCACAGCGCTCAGAGCAGCACATGGCCCCTGGATCCAGCTGCTCTGAGCAGAATTTAGGTGCTGGGCTGCAGGCCAGTTCCAGGCTGCGGACTATATTTTGCTCACCCCAATATAACCTATTGGGTTAGCGAGCCTTACACGCCAAGAGATCGTGGCTCAATAGGAAACTGAGGAATCAGTAGAGAAGATTTAGAAAGGAAACACCACAGACTTAGACTGACCACAGACTGGGACTGACTCTCTCACAATTTCTAGATCCCACAGGATCACCAAGATTGTAGAGCGTAAGTAAAACGGAGTAAACTTCCCATTTCCTTTGCAACCTGCTTTCCGGTTGATTTACCTCTTTATTAGATTGTTTGCAGTAAAGGGGTTTCTATGGGACTTCATTTCTCTGTTGGCATTAGCATACTACGGCCTTACAACGAAGCTTCAAATAAATGCTAGTCGGCAACAATCTTTTTTTGGCTACACTACTTCAAGGGAGTTCACTAGTGCTGAACCTCCTGAAGGCAGATCTGATTAACTGGGATAAACAGGAAACCGCATCCCACAGTTACAATGTCTATTGGGGGCTTTTGTTTTTAAGTCTGAGGCAAGTTCAGGAGATTGTATTGCTGAATATAAGCATGGGACCACCTTTCAAGCAGCTTCATGAGAGCAAGTGATGAATTAATAGAGTAGCAAGTTATGTTGGGAAAAGCCCAATAATGAGGATATTAGATTTTGATGGTAAAAGAAATGGTGTTTGGAAAAGGAGAACAGTACATAGCTTTTTGGATGTAAATAGATGAAAAGGCACTCTGAGAGAATGAGGCATTAAATGTCTTCGGATTAGGTCAGAAAGAAGAAATGATCCACTTTACTCTTTCTAATAATATGTAATGATCTACAGGAGGAAGTTAAAAAGGATTAACCGACTGAACAAAATAGCTACTTACCTTTCTAGATGTATGTAATAAAACACAGCCAGCGCTTTCACTTTCTACTGGAAAAGAATTTGAGAAAAATATTACAATCATAGATATCTGATGGGCAACAGGCATGAAAGGAAGGCTTTGCAAATATGCTACGATATAATGTAAGGTGAAAGTTTATCATTCTTCAGACAAATGCATTTTTTTGTGTTTGACAGCGGCAACATTTAATAATCTTTGCAGAGACGTTTGTGACTGCAACAACAAAAGATCTATTCAGTGTGCAGAAATTGTTTGTGTTTATATGGGGAAAAAACATTGAAAAAAGTCAGCAAAATATTTCAAGAATGCAAAAATAAGATATGTTTATATGGGGAAAAGACATTGAAAAAAGTCAGCAAAATATTTCAAGAATGCAAAAATAAGATATTTCCATTACCTACAAGATTATTTTCATCTAATCCCCAGAAAAGTAGGTAAAATATATAACAACATCCCATGCCTCTCTCTCATATTCAGGTTTATTGACAAAACACTTCAAAGGATCAAGAGTGTTTTCTCCATTTGAAGCCCAAACATGCATTCATAGTAATTAATGCAATAAAATGCCCATTGACTTCAGTGGGAGTAGGTTGGGTGATGCTTACCAGCAACCGGTTAAGCGGCAGCCTGACCAGGCCAGAGGCCACTCCAAAACAAGACGGGCCCACCACGAACAGGGAGCAGTTCCACAGTTAGTGTTTAACCGGTTAACTTTTTAAAATGCCATTTTACAGCCCTACAGCAGGTTGTGCCAGACTGAGCGAGTTGGAAACAGAAAAAAGGCACCTCTCCCACCTCCTTAAGGCTCAAACTCTATGGCATGACCTTGACTAGATGACTCTCTGCAAAGTATTTTGGGAGATTTTGCAGACTTATTGTGTGTGCAATATTACATGAATGAGATACCACAGTGATAGGAAATTAGGACCATCTAAAAAGGCACCGAGAAAGTCGTGATTCTGTATTCTAAATTCTTACCTCTGTTAGCTAGCCATAGGAAATTAGGACAATCTAAAAAGGCACCGAGAAAGTCGTGATTCTGTATTCTAAATTCTTACCTCTGTTAGCTAGCCACGCAATAGATGTTAAAGGGAGTTTTCTTAGTTACCTAAATTATGGAGAACTGAATAGCAAAGCATAAGACATTTCTACACTCAATCCTCTCCAACCTATTCAAATTAATAATCAATCAATTAAACTGTGCATATGCGAGTGAATAAGGAAAAGTTATTTACTTGTTCTCATAATATAAGAACTAGGGGTCACCAAATGAAATTAACAGATAACAGGTTTAAAACAAACAAAAGGAAGTTTTGTTTCATGCAGCGCAGTGTCAACCTATGGAACTCCTTGCCAGAGGATGTTGTGAAGACAAGGACTTTAACAGGGTTAAAAAAAAAAAGAGCTAGATAAATTCATGAGGTTAGGTCCATCAATTGTTATTAGCCAGTATAGGCAGGAATGAAGTCCCTAGCCTCTGTTTGTCAGAAGCTGGAAATGAATGACAGGAGAGGAATCGTGTGAGGATTCCCTGTTCTGTTCACTCTTTCTGGGGCATCTGGCATTGGCCACTGTCAGCAGACAGGATCAGCAGACCTTTGGTCTGACCCAGTGTGGCCGTTCTTATGTTCATATCTATAGCTCCTGATATGAAGTGAGAAACACACTCAGAAATACTTTCTGCCTCCATATATTTGTACTGTAGTATTATTTTAAAGTGTTTATCTCTGGTGTACCAAGTAATAAGTTTCCCGAGTATGTTAACCAAATGGCTTATAGATAAAATGTGTGCCCTGAATTTCAGGGGTCTGAATTCATATCTGTTGGGGTTGCACTTCTATTAAAAATTCCTCCTTTCCTCTTCACAGCACCAAAAGCACCATTGTATTTTCAGTACTTGAATGCACAAAAATACAGTGAAAAAGACATCAACAACTCTTCTACAATGCTACTAAGTTTCATAGAAATCCCTTTGTTCAAAAAGCAAAACAGTGCAAGAAAACTTCTGCTCGTGAAGGCACGGAACACTGGGTAGAGTAGAATCACGACCATTAAAAGCGAGTAAGCTTCTCTAAGTTGGCTGTTTTCAAAACCACATCTTCAAATGGCTGATCTGCTTCTATTATTTTATATGCAAAGTATTTTTAATCCACTTCCCCTCTCATATTATGCACGCGAGTCACACCCTTCGCTCCGTTACCTTCAGCGAAAATAAAGGCGATGGACACCAGCAGAAGATGGGGCCTGTCATACATACAAACTGTCTTAACTACAGAATTAACCTGAGTTATCTACACTCCATAAAACACCGGGGCGCCAGAAAATTGCAAACCTGGCTTGGTGAATAGAATGATTTTATTTGCAGCTGATAAGCTGAGCTTTTGCCCATGTCTCCCCTCCCCCTTCAAGATAAAAGCGCTGCCACTCTTGAGTTAAAGACTTAGCATCCGCAATTTGGGGCAATGCATGAGTTACAAACAACTCACATTAACTCTACAGTGGAGACAAGCCCACACCTGCACCCCTTTAAGCACAGAGAAGTATGGTAAGGCAGATCAGATGTCATAACAACTATAGGTATTTGCTACAGAAAATCTCAGAGTGTAGAGGTTACACCCATTTTTCCCCAATCAATCAACTAGTTAAAGTGTAATTAACTTTGAAGTATTCTAGATTATGCAAGTCTCCATATAAAATGTATGATTGTTAAAAGCATCTTTGCCAAGAATGTTTGATGTATAAGTCATCTTTATTTGAAAATGGTATTTAGTATAAAAATCTTGCCCTTCCAGCAAAACCAAAAGCACGGAGCATTTCCCTAGGCCTTTATATTCATTCTTCATTATTCCCAAATGCTTTCCCCTTAGCCTCTATTTACAGTCTAATTACACAGGGAGAAGTATGCTAGAGAGTCCTGGAATTAATAAAAATACAGAGAAACACAAAAGCTGAAAGCATCCAATTGGTGGCTCCAGGAAAACAAACAAAACAAAACAAAAAAAAGTAAGGAAAGGAGACTCTAAATAGACTAGCTCTGTGTGTTTGAGTATCTGCAGTCTGTCCTTTGCTCCGTCCTTAAGGATGTGTGTGAATCTAATATAATTCCAAGTTGTCCTTTGTCACTTCGTGTCCCTCTCAGTTCAGCTCATCTACTAACTCAGCTGTAAGTCAGTCCAATTTCCATCAGGAGTTTTCCTGAATGCACTCTTTTGCTTCATCATCAAAAGCATCTTTGATTGCATCTTCTGGATCGGGGCCATCTGAACATCTCATCAAATATCCTAAGGAATGTCAGGAAGTTTTATAAGGCCTGGAGCCTCATTCATCACTATATGCAAGAACACAGCTTGGATTCTTTCCCAGGAAAGAAAGCGTATCATGCAAGTCTTTGTTGTTAACGTGTGGTCCCATGGCACCTTACAGACTAACCAAAATACATGATTCTATATATTTTGGTTAGTCTCCAAGGTGCCACAGGACCTCTCGTTCTTTAAATTACAGACTAACATGGCTGCCCCTCCAAGATTCCTTGTTAATAACACGGTCCCATTCTCATCTTACTGGCATTCTTGAATCTTTTACTGAATGAACATAGCCAACACACTGAAGCATGTACGTTACAGGAGCTTCTTTGTGGCCTTTGTCTTGGCGGATTTTCTTGGATTATTGGATGTTGATGCTAAGGGCTTGTCTATACTTACTTGGTGGTGATCGATCTCTGGGGGTTCAATTTAGTGGGTCTAGTGAAGAACAGTTAAATGGACTGCTGCTTACTCGCTCATCAATTCTGGTACTCCAACAGAATGAGAAGCATAAAAGAAATCAATGGAAAAGATTCTCCCATCAACCCCCCACAATAACTCAACCTAAAATATATTGACACCAGCTACTGTACTCACGTAGCTACGGTCACATAAATAGACCTGCCTTACGATACACCAGTGATGGGTAACTAGGTAAACAGACTGAGCAAACACAGCTTAGAATTAGAGCTAGACAGAATATAGCAAACAGGGATCTAATCTGAACAGCTAGAAGCCATTACATAAAATAATTTCATACCAAAAAAAACAGTGTGAGGGAATAGGAATAGGATTCCCCGGGAACAGGATTTTAAAAAAATTTCTAAGAATGAAAAAATATATTGCCAGTCACTTTATTTCTATTATTTATTTTCTACAAGTATAAAAATTTAAAAACCCCCCAACAGGAATGTGGTTTAAAACATGTATTAGAAAAATCGAACACATAAATATGAAGGTTCTCTATGTGCAAGCAGCAAACAGAGAAACCAATAATAGTGCAGGCTGGACCTTTACAATCTGGGAGACTCTGGTCTGACAAGACCATGGATATTGTTGGACCAGAGAGCCCTGGCTGGCCAGATTCAGGGGCTGAGCTGGTGGTGGGGAGCACAGCCCCGGTAGGGCTGGAGGCAGCAGGGTCAGCAGCAGGGAGTACAGTCCCGGTTGGAGCCGGGAGCAGAGCCCAGTGGCTGGAGCTAGGAGCACAGTCCATAGCTGGGAAGGGAGCCTTGACCTCCCCCCTGGTCTGGCAAACTCTGTGGTTCTGGACCGCTCGGGTTCTGAGGGTGCTGGACCAGGGAGGTCCCACCTGTAGAAAGATTCTAAACTTGCATTTGTTAGACCGTACTCCAGTTTCTGCCTGGAGATATAAAAAAATAAGAAGAATCAGTGAATAAACTCGACGTACGTGAGAAGGTATGCTTAGCTAACATGCACGATGATTTGTATGACATGTGGCTTTTCATAGGGGTGCGGGGGCTTTGGGTTGTGACCTGGGGCAGGAAGGAGTTGTGATCTGGGCTAGGAGGGGGTGCAGAGGTTTTGGGTTGTGAACTGGGGCAGGGGAGTTGGGGTGAGGTGCCAGTTGCAAGTTCTGGCCAGGAGACATTTACCGTAGGTGGCTCCCAGCCAGCAGCCCAGTGGGACCCTTGGGCAAGCTCCCTGGCTACTGTTTCCCCACACGCCTCTCAAAGCAACCAGCTGCTTGGCTCACATGTGTGTCT